ATACAAAGATGGACACATTCCTTAAAAGATTACAACCATGAGTCAAATATAAAAATCGATAGTGGCTGTAAAGCATATTTTGATACACCATGTTCCTGAATTTCCTCCAGATATTCTTAACTATAAACAGTGCTAAATCCACTTGGATAACTATGTCTCGACAAAAGGATACTAGGACCCCTTGGTACAGGCTACTAAGACATGGCCTTGATTCTACGTGGAAGTGTAATGTGAGAGCACTACCTTTCCTATCTTTACAAGGAAATTGAGAAGTACCCTAGCACCTCTCTTTGAATGATTTTTAATCTAGACACCCAAATTTATGCTTAGTGCCAGTGTGATTTATCTGGGTCCTTAGAGCCACATGGCACAAACTAAAGGCATAAGTTCTGGGAAGGAGGAAAATATAGTGCTCATGAAAGAATTCATCAGGGAGGAGCACCTGGACTGCTTAGTTTACAGTCAGCCTTCTCCAGATATAATAATGGTGAACATATATATTCACAGGGAAAGTCTCATGTGGACAAAAACAGCCAGACAATATCCAGCCAGTCCTTGGGGGGTGAGGGGGTGGCGTAGTTTACAGAAAAAGTAGATTAACTTTCCTGGAACAGAAGGGCTAGCTGGCTGGGGAGTAAGGAGAACTTAGATTAAAGAGATAAGGGCAGGAAGGGGAGCAGATGGCAAATGGCCCTGTCATTGCTTGAGTTGAGTAGGTGGGTAGGTGAATTCCTCCTTTCTTCAGGACTCTACACAGACATCATTTCTGGATCATTTTCCCTTATCCCTGCCCACCCCAATCTCGAAGTGGGTGTTGTCTCATAATACTTAAAATGTTGTACTGAAGTGATATTTGACTGAATTGATTTAAGCATCAGTTTCACCACTTGCCCTGCACCCCAGCCTTATCTCTTGTAATGCAATTGCTCCGTCCTATGGCAGGCTCAGAGTCTGCATGGTCTCTGTCAGTGAAAGGCTGACCCTGAGGTAGCACTGATTGATTCACCCCCGTACTAACACTGCTCCAGCAGCTAAGGAAATAGCGGTGAAGAAGAAATATTTTCTCTGATTGTATGGCATTTACATGGAGTGGCCTTTAAGGAACCAGAGTCTTATGCAGCCTACCTGAAGAAATTTAAGTTTTTTGGTCCTTTGTCAGGGGAGGAGTTTAAAGCTCTTGCATAAGACCTCCTATGCATGACATTATCCCAAAAGTGACATATGAGATGCTAAATCTGGCATGATTAGAAGCCACCAAGGCATACATAATCCATCAAATGGCAAATCAGAGCTGAAAATGGCAAAATGGTCAATACTAAAAAACTTTATTTTAAGCAGTATCCTTTCCAATGGAAAAGTCTAAAGGAAAGTGCAAATGTGTTTTGAAAGGAAAAGTACTACTTCAAGTATTTGACGTCAAAATGCATATTGATGAGGCAAACAGGAGGGTTGGCTTAATATTCTTATAGACCAACTCCCCAGACACTGGCTAAATCAATTGTGGGGCAGTCTGGAGACGACCTAACCTAATTGAGAAAGCCACAGGCATGGAAGAGGCGAGGGCTGACTCAGGCTCCAACAATCTGGGCTAAATCACTCACCCTCGCACTCTGTCTCGTAGCCTCAGCGGGCCACATCCAGTCTCTGCTCCCAGCCTCTGCAGCCCTCATTACAGGAAGATCACAGGGCGTGTGAGTCCTCAGGGAGTAGGAGGGTTATTTTCCTTCACAGTCTTTTAAGTAGAAACTGCTATGAAGAACAGGGTGGGGGATGGTAGGTAAATGGGGAAGAAAAAGGGAGGCAGTGTTGTCCTGGGACCTTGCCCAGTGACAAAACCACATGGATTTTCAAGGGAAAGAGCTGAGGAGCTTGATATGAAGTGGAAAACTAATTCACTTGCCTCAGAGGGTCCCATAACAAGGGGAGAAAGTTCTCTCAAGTCTTTACTCAAGTCCAAAGAAGAGAGTGAGAGGCACAATTCCAGAAGAACCTGCTTGTGAACAAGGCTGTGGAAGCTCATTGCACAATGACTGTCAGCAAATGATTGTGATGCATTTTTGTTGTGCTCATCTCCTTGATGATACTCAGCACACAGTCTATACACAAGTCACAGGAGACTGCAGACGTGTCCTCCGTTGTGTAGCGATAACATCAGGCTGTGCAAACTTGCTGAAGAGACTTTCTGAACAACTACTTCAGATCAATAGATTTTGGTCAGGAAAGAGCTAAGAGGGACTATCTTGTTCTCTTTCAAAAGGTTCCCAAGATGGAACTTTGTTGTTGATATGACAAGACCTTGATCCAAAGCAGCAAGGAAGAAAACCCTAGTTTGCCAATTCGTCCAGTCACTCAAATATAAGAGAACATGCAAGCTAGCAGACAGCTGGGGACAAACCAATTCCACAATTCCGCTGCTCTGCTCTGAGCACCCCCAAACCTCTACAGAGCTGCTATTTGGCAAATATGAAGTCATAATGCAAGCAAATATTCTTAGAGTTTGGTAGAAATGAATCACATTTTTTAACTTTCTGCAGCTGCCCATGGAATGTGAACTCAGCATGTATCTGAATTATTAAACATCTGCTTTATCAGTGTGGTTCAGTTTCAAGAACCAATTGAACTGAAAAACAAGCCATGTATGTAAAGAAACCTTAGGATTCTGGAAATGAATATATGAATCTACAAATTCTCGTAGTTTCTGACCATGTATCAAAATTCTCAGGAATGCCTGCATCTACTACCTTACTGATGAAAGAGCTAAGAGATAAGAGTTACTATGAAAATGCATTCTCTTTGTGAAACAGCTTACCTCCAAGCTGAGACCTGAAATCCGGGCTAGGAATCTGCCTTCCTAGGTGAGATGTACCTAGGCCACATGTAAACAGAATTCTCAATGAAAGTTTACTTTGTGATATATGTCCATATTTGATCAAAATCAGTTGACAAGCTTATAGTTATATGGTTTGGTATTAATAAAAGAAAATTTTATGACTTATTACAAAGTTTTTTCATTCATTGGTCTCAACAACCTGTGAATACAAATGATCTCAGCTAGAGAGGCTACACTGTGGTAATAACCCAAGTTTTAGTGGCTACTGTAATTCATATTCCAAGGGAGGCAGTTTATTGATTCCATCTATTGGTATAATTGATTGTAAAAGGAGAAGGGGAACAGGATAAGACAAAAGGAGACATTGAAATATGACACAGTCTAATTAATGCTCCAGTCAACATGCTTGGTACTCGGGATCTGGGTAGACTCTATCCTCATTTGTCCCAATTTATCGCAAGAGGTTAATTCAACACAGGCTGCCCTGGAAGGAGGTGTGGTGGTCAGATCACCAAGCAATTTTCCTTGGACCAGGAAAAGCTAACAGCTGAGGGCTGTCTTCCGACAGCACTCCAGCAGCTGGGGAATACGGCCTTCATTCCTGAACATGAATCTGCCCCAACAGGAATCTGGGCAGTGCTTCAAAGCATCCACTACAGTCGACAACTTGGATGCTTGGATTTTCTACTTATAAGTTCTGGGAAAAACTTCTCTAAGACACCAGTGAGCCTCTGACCTTGGAGAGAATTCACAGAAGGAAGGGTAGTGAGACAAATTCTACAATCCTGACGCTACAACTTGTTTCAGGGTGAGGATGGATACTCATCTTTCTCCTCTTATTATTCAATGATTTATCTCTCAAAAAGTTTCACTGCTCATCGTGTTGACTTTCCTGGTGCTAAGACCAGTCTCTCATCCCTGAGGGGACTGAGTCCCTGGCATTTCTGGCTTTAGTTTGTTTTCCTTCATAGGCAGAGAAGAGAATACTGAGAGGTGCCTAAGTTGATCACCTGAGTTCTAGCTTTTTCCTCTCTTCCCTAAATACAACAATAGCTTTCTTTCTTCCTGCTGACAGGCTCAATTATTCCTTTCAAGATGCAGATGCCTTGCCTGTCTTTTGGTCCCTTGATGCAAAGGTCCAAAAGTGGCCGCAGATCAGTGATATGAGGAGCTAAATGGGCTAGGTGCTCTATCCCATCAGCAGCATTTCCCCCTTCAGAATCAAGATCTCAAAATTCATAAGGTGCAGCGTGGGTAGGAAGCCCAAGTTCTCCTGATCCCATTCTTCAGTTCCTGGGCCTAAGAAATCAACATTGTGAGCACAACTCCAAATAAAGGTCTTTGGTTTAAGGTGTACTGTGCCTTCTAAAGAATGACACTCCATCCTCACAAAGTATTAACTTTGAAGTGGGCATAAACCAAGTTTTCAGTAGTTTGGTGCTGAGCCCTACTGACTGGAAGTTCCTGGGTGATATTGAGATATATGTGTCTATTCTTAGTTAATCTTCTGCTGAAAAGCATATTCCTTATTGTGATGTGATCTTACATGACATTCTGTGATGGGGGACTTAGTACTCTGTCAGCATTGGATAGTGCTGCTGGTTAAGGGCCTAAAGGTAGGAACTGTAAATCAGTTATCTACATTATATGTCCATAGTAAAATGAATTTTTTTCTTCCAGATGGAAAATGTCCACTGTTGTCAATATGCTGATGTCTGGCTGGCTTCCTTAAGGGTTGGAACACTCTCTGTAGCAGGAATGTTAGCCATTTGGCAGTAGTGAGAGCTGAGAAGTTTTGGTAAGTGGGTGTCCATGCTAGGGGGCCCATGCCTGACGTCCATCTCTGCACCATGCCTTCCCTGTCTTTGTGGCTGATGGGCCATCTCTGCAGTGGCTGATGACAGAGGCAGGCTACCACGAGGTGGTCAATACCTCCTGTACCTGCCTGCTTCTTGCCTCTCTCATAGGTACTAACATGCTTGTTCTCACATACATCTATGCACATCTACTCTGTGTTGCAATCTGCCGACTTTTCTCCATCTAGGCCCATGTCTAACCACTGGTCCCTTCTCTTTCAGCACAAGTGGATAAGCAGGCACACCACCTGCATCCTTCTCTCACCCTGTCTTTTAAGACCACCTTCAAGTAGTCTGTAATGCATTCACCATCCATTTTCAGCTGCAAACGTGTATAGAGCTGGCCCACCCGTGAAGCAAACTTAAGCTCCTTTCCCCCTAATCAATTGACCCTACAGAGTCCCCCATGTGACCATGGGTGTGTGCTGAAGGGAAGATGCTAGTTCAGTGGCAGCAGGTGACATGGGACACTTTTTGCAGTCTGAGTTTGTCCTCTATCTTGCTTGTGCTTCATCCCAGATACCAGGCTGGTCTTGCGATGAGTGTTTCTTGGGCTATCCCATCTAAAATGTGCTGGTTCTGCCAGAACCCAATCAGGTGGGCTGCTTTAGTCATGTGGTCATGGGGTGTCCCATGCTTAGGTGCTCTTTCTCTGCTAGGTCACCATAGCATGCCAGCGCTGTTCAAAAGTTGTAAACTTTGTTGCTACAGATTGGCATAGATTCACTTCAGTATCCTAGATTCTCCATCATGATCTTCTGATTGGGACTTGCCAAAAATTCCGCATGACACCTTTTTCCACCACTAGCACCTCTAATGCTCAGAAACCCATTGGCTCATATGGTTGAGTGGTAGGATTGCTTGCAATGAAACCTAGATCTGGTGTAAATCCTGGTCTTGTTCTATCTTCTCAAAACTGTTCAAAGTTAAACACCAAAATAGTTTCCCCAGGTGTGGAATATACTTCTTCCAGAACTCAAATATATTCCTCAGATTTTGTACTTCAACTTTTTGTGGTGGGAGTTGTAAGATGCAAAACTTATATTTTACTTTGGATGTGATATATTGGCAAGAACCTCTTCCCTACCCCTTGTCCTGCAACCACTTCCTGTTGTCCCTAGAAGGAAGCATGACTTGGGGTAAGCAATTCCCTCAGCTGACGGCAGTCTACCAGGACATTTTTAGCAGCTGGAGGAATGGGCTTTATTCTTGGAGGGAGACTTGGATGGTATCTACAGGTTTTCTTTACTGTCTGAAAGGAGAACATTGCTACATGGTATGATTTGGTAGCTTATTTGTGTGTGTCTGGGAATGCTATTACCATTAATTTATACGGAAAAACTTTTGAGCATTCCAAGATACAAAAAATAACCTACTAAATCACATCAAATAGGAACATTCTACTTTTGGGTAGCATGGGGAATTCTGCATGTCTTTATTCTACCTGCTTAATGTGGATCTTGTGCTCTTGATTCTACCTGCTTAATGTGGATCTTGGTGCCTTCAAATCTAACGGCCTTCATAATAATTATTTCCGGGCATCCTTGGGACCTGCATGACTGAAGTCATGGACGGTTTTCTCAGTTCTATTTGCTTGTTCTTATTGATGCCCCTGACTATTAAAACACTTCAAGGACTGTAGGGAACACTACACAGTTCTCTGTGCTCCCGGCAAACCCCAGAAGGCATCCCCAAACCTGTGTTCGCACTACCCTCTCTTTTGTGAGAGAGCTATTTCCTTGGGACCCAGAGTTGAGCCCATTGGGATGGGACAATAACCAAAGTAATTCTATGTTGCTCCTCAACCCAATTCCCCTCAGGTATACTTGGATTGTGACATATTCTTCTTTCCCCTGCCAGCAAGATCCACATGTCAGTAGGCCCTTTCAGTTTGCCTGACATTTCTGAGGCACATTTATTTAATCAGTAGTTTGAAGTCAGGCTGCGATGCTTGTCCATTGTTTTGAATTTACTTTCTACTAGTACACTTAAAATTGTTCATTACTGTTAATAGTGCTTCCATGGGTACCCTTTATGACTTCCTGGATTCCCATATAAGCCAAATTCTGATCATGTGACCCATTATTGTCACATACCCAAACTTTCTGTAATTTAGATGAAAAAAAAAAAAAAAGGTTAAGAATGGTCAAGTTACAAACCCACAATCAAACTGTGGGGTCAATGGTAGACTATGCTCTTATTTAGTTTTTATCTTTCCTATCTACTGCTTACTTCTTCAAAATTAAGAAAATAATCAAAAATTCACAAATATGAATTCAGAGGCTTATAAGTGATTAAACAAATTTATATTAAAGAAGACAATAAAGTTTTCTTCTGCTAATTTTAAAAACCATGATTTTCTGAAGTTTTGTTACATGGCAAGGGTAACATATGTGATTCTGGGCATATGATATTTTTAAAAAAGTCTTGCTCACATGGTTCTTTACTTATTTATATCCCTCAAATCCATAAATAGAACAAGATAAAATGAACAAATAAAAACTTGGGAGGAAGTTAAAAATACAGATTGGAAAAATCAAACAGAGCCAGGTTAAAGTTAGTAGACAAAAGCACATGGCCAATGTTGCTGGCCAGATGCCAGATGCGAGCTGTAGACTTCATCCCAGGCCTTCTGTGACTGAAACAAAGACAATCACAGTTCACCGCTTTCACCGAGATGTACCGTGTCCAAAGCAGGGCTACAGCAACCTCATTCCCCATATCTAAAACATACTAACTGCCTACTGACAGTGAAAGGAGGGCTGATATGAGGGGGTGTTGAGACAGCTTAGACACTGTACCCTGATTAATAAAAAAAGAAAAAAAACTAGGACTTAGCCATCTTCTAGCAGGCAGACCCTGAGACTAATACTTCCATGGGGAGTGTTACCTAGTGAGCAGGAGACAGGGACAAGATGAACCAAGCAGAGAAGATGGGAAACCAATACGAGGATGGGTTATGAGGTTGGCATGGCTTCTGGTGGTGGCTGACTCCTTTTAGGCTGCCTGCAGAATTGTATGAAAGATGTCACAGAATTTTCCATCTAGGGGAAGAAAGAAAGCATTTGTCTATTAGTGCTTATGCTCTGTCGGTCAAAGGTTTTCCACCCAACCTTACACCTCTGCATGTCATGTTGAGGTTAGTAACGAAAGGGCCCCTGGCACACCCTGTTATCTCCAGTAGAGGATGACCCATCAGCATGGGTTAATAGAGCTGTCAGGTTGCACCTACAGCAAGCCTGCCTCAGTGGCTGGGAAAAGGGACAAGGAACACACCCAGTAAAGACAGGTTGTACCCAAGCAAGACCTGACAGACTCCCAGATCTAAAACTGCGTGTTGTTTTAAAGCATCATCTGAGAATCTTTTGATGTTTAGTAACTTGCTGATCTCTAAGTAGTAAATTCCTGTAAGAGTTAAGTGATGTCAGGATACTTGGGCCAGCCACCAGTTTGGACCTATTCACTAACAGAGCCTGTATGTGAAAATCATGTCCCTTGCCTGATGCTTCAAAATATGAAGCCTTAATGATACATTGGCGATTGTATCTGAAAATAGTTATTTCAAACATCTATTACAGCAACATTGTCCAAGTTAATAACTTATACAGAAAATAAAGAGTTGGGATAAAACTGCTCATTTTATAACCAGGGATTAAAAATATATCTCAACACTCATTTTCATAGCCCCTTTGGATTTCCATAAGCAACTTTCTCTTAGCCTGGCATTTTAAGTGAAATTTTAAAACAATGTGACTTTTCACACTGTACTCTAATATAATCCCTGAAATTTTTTCTTCTCTTAATAATTCAGTATTGATTTTTTTTTTCATGATTGAAAATCCATGAGTTGAAATAGGTAAGGTAAAATCCTCTTTACCTTTCACTAACTTTCTACTGTTTAAAATAATATGGCCAGGCCTCCCTGCTGGCACAGGGGTAAGGTGTTCTCAGTGCTGTCACTGCTGTGGCCTGAGTTGGATCCCCGGCCAGGGGGCTGACCCACATAGGGCATAGCAGACGTCTTCTGTCTCAGCAGTGTTTTCAGTAAATCCACCTGTCCTGCTCCCTACTCTGTCTCTGCTGAATCATCTCATCTCCCTCACACCTCTGGCCTACACCCCTGTTTTATATGCAGAAATACTAAAACTAAATCTTTAAAAAATAAATAAGATAGCTTTCTGTATCATAACCCCATTGCTGAGGAATATAGCACGTGCCTATTGGAAAATTCGAGGCAAATTTTTAAATTTGATTTTAATTATTTTCCACCCCTCTTTGGGAATCACGTGCAATGAAAATCATGACTCTTAGAGAGTTTGGCAATGCTGTTAAAGAAATGGAATTCTTCTAGGTGGACAAGGAATGAGGAAGACAGAACATTTCATTTACGCTCAGAGACGGCAAGTAGAGGAAAAACTAGTCTGTCGGCCATAGTCCTCTGTGATCTTGTTCCACTAATATAAAACAGAATTAGTTAACTTACATGAGGTGAAATATTTAATTTTAATTAATCAATTAATTAGCATCAATTAATTAATCAATTAACTAGCATTAAAAAGGTGTACTTATCTGAGAATGCAAAATATACGCAAGAACTTTAAAAAATCTTAATGCCAACATAAGTTCGATATTATTATTTCTATGCACAAATGAAGTGACTAAGGCACAGACAGTTAAGCAACTCTTCTGAAATCACAGAGCTAAGAAAGTGGTAGAGCAAAATTCCATTTCAGTCATCACTGTGCCACCAACACTTCTTGAATCATATCCTCGAGTCTCTCCTTACTGTCAAAAAGGAACAATAAAAAAGGAACAAATGTGTCACACCTGTAGCAAAGAAGCCAAAGATGAGGCAAATTAATTTTGTTAAATTCTCCCCCACACCTTCCAGGAGCCTAGGAGGAGTTGCTGGAGACAGAGCAGCTCCCAGGTAGCCCTGAGCAGCAAAATGTTACTAGGTGCTCCCTGCAAACACACACTGTGTTAGGATGTGGCACTCAGGAACCGCACAGGACCTTACCTTGTGGAGAAACTAGGGGAGCAACATTTCACTTTAGTCCTAGAGAATGAGCAGATCAACAGCATGCAGGTGTGTCCCCTCAAAGGGCCCGTCACCAAGTAAGCTTCTCCACACTCTTCAGCATAAACTTGACATCCTTCTCTTTCTAGAAGCTAGGTTATTCCGCTGAGCTCAGTGGCATTGATGAGCCAGTCATAGTGAGCTGTTTCCTTGTAACTAGCACCCGTGACCACAAAGGGCTGTGAGTCTTGTTTCTTTAAGTCCTAGTTTATCACCTGGTATGGGGTACACAGGGGCATTTGCTAAAATGTTTGTGAAAGGAAGAGAGAGAGGGAAGAGAGAGAACAAACAATTAATACCTAGTTGTATGCATTAGTTATTTGTCTCATATTGAAGAACAGCTATATGCAGTGCTCACAAGGAGATTCCCCCTTCTTCCCACACCTACCCCCCCCTTAATTTGTCTCTAAACATTTGTGTTAAGGGCAGGAGACGCAATGATGAATAACACACAGTGTGGCTGTTTTTAAGAAGTTTATCAGCTAATGATAGAAAGGCAACAGAAATGTTAATGTTTTCCCCCTTCCTTTCAATCTTTTGCCCAACTATGAAGCAGAAAAGCCAGGATGGTTTTTGATGTCAACCGTCCAGGCAGCATTTGGCCTTGCCCACTGAAGGAAGGCCAGCTTTAAAACTGCCAGCCCAGAGACTTGCAGGAGAAGGGCACAGCTGGATTACTGGCTATAGCAGCAACAGACTTTGCTGCCCATTCATTTGCTCTTCCCACAAGTGAGGGAGTGCCAAAAATCTGTCTGCCCCACGGAGATGAGCCTGAGGGCTGCCCAACCCATCCACACAGACAGGAATGGTCGCACCCAGCAGGTTCCAGGTTAGCCTCCGCCCCCAATCGCCCCCTCTGGCCCCTCCTGGGCGGAGCAGCCTGCTCCCAGCAGACCCTGGGTGCAACCGTGCATTCAGGCGCCCTCGGACCAGCTCGCCCGGTTCGCCCACCTGCTCAACCTGCCCCCCTCCCTGCACGACGTCACTCAAGTCACGTGAGAGGTGAGAGGCCACCCCCTTCTCCCCCCAAATCTCAGCTGAGGAGAGTTGGGGGTGGACAGTGCGTCTGTTGCAGGCCTCTTCCCGGCCCCCTCCCCCGGAGTCCGAGGAGAGCTTTAAGCAAAGGGCTCTGGTGAAATTAAAACCAGTGTTCTAAATTAAGGGGAGCAGATGTTCCTGTTTTGCTCGGGAGACCTGGGTGGCCTGCTGTTCAGACAGAAATCGTTGAGGCACTGACCTTCCGGGGCTGCTGTCAATCTCGGCGTGCAGATGGCAGCCCAAAGCCCTGCCTGCCTCTGCATTGGAAATGCGGCAGCAGGGGGATCCCGGCAGCTTGAGAGAAAAGTCTGCATGGGGGTGGGGAAGGGGCCCTGGGGAGGGAGAGGGCAGGAGAATAAAGCCTGTTCCTCACACAATGGAGCCCCCATGGCGGCCCCTCTGAGGACAAAGCAGTCCCCAGGGACCCGCGGTGGGCTGCGCCAGGCCGACAGGCCCGAGCTGCAGCTGCCTCTTCAGAACAAGGCCCTGCAAATGTGCCCACTTGATTTTAAATCCTCTTAGGCGCTATCCTTGTGAACAAGGACAGGGGTGGCTGACAATCCTATACAACAGAGGCCTGGGAATCCCGGTGCTGGGCAAAATGTTTGCACCACGCATGCAAATAGAGTTGATCACTTGGAAGCAGTCTGCAGACTTTCTGACAGGTAGTGGGTGATCTGTGAACACAGCCACCTTCCTGCTGTAAACGCCACTATCTGGCCCCAGGGTGCCACTCTGGGTCCCGAAAAATTTTAAGGGTGTTTCCCCAGGAAGAGACTTCCCATTACATGTCCAGAAAAATCTACTGAGCTGCATAGTCATTAGTCACCCAGGTATTTACACTGTTTTTCCTATTTCCTTTCTCTCTTGGACTCTGTGGTCAGTAGTATAAAATTCCTAGGAACTCCCACCTAAACACCAGTTTCCTGTTTATGTTCTCTGTGGCTTTAATGTTTAGCTGTTAAAAGCAAGTTGAACAAAACTCTATGAAACAATCAGCAGAGGTTTGCAGGTGAATAGGGGGGAAAAATAACAACCAAATGGGTAGGTCAAAGGTCTGCGTTCATTTTTAATCACTTATGTCAAAATCACAAGGTGAAGTGGGGAGGTACAATTAAAGTGTAACTCAATGCTTGAGATCTTGGTTCAATTGCATTTGGCTCCTGTGTCTACATGAAGCTATAAAATATGATACACTAGTCTAAATTATGAACATTTTCATTTCTAATACTTAAAGGTCTTTTTTTCCCCCAATGTGGCATGACATTCCTTTGTTATTGAAGGTTAAAGGCCACACATAAATTCACCTGTGTGCTTCTCTATGTGCCTTACACCTCCCTAAGGCTGTTCTTCCTTAAGTTCCTGCAGGCAAATATTGCATTTCGTAGCTACCTGAATTTCAGCCTCCCTGACCTGTAAAGAACCCTAGAGAACACTCTCACCCAGCCCTTTTCTGATACACAATTCCCGGTACATTTCTGAGGCCTGTTTATTCTCTGACAGAATTCCTCTAATGATAGGATACTCCTTACCTCAGAAGATAACATCGTTCTTTGACATCTTTTTTATGATAAAGGTTTCTCCCCGCCCCTCTCTCTCTATATATATAAAACTCCATTTCAAAGCCATGCCGAATCCATCTAATTTCTCTTCCACATGCCTTTTCTTTCAAAGACTGGAAGAGAGCACTCATGTCCCCCTAGAGCCTTCTCCCAGCTAAACATCTTTAGATCCTCCAGCAATTTTCCCCATGGGTTTCCCTCACGGTCCCTAGTTATCTCGAGTTGTTCCAGACAGCCTCAGTCCCTTTGAAACTGAGGTGGTACTTAAATTCCTGCTACAGCTCAGCTGAGGTGTCAGCACTGGGGGAATAGGGCTTAAAATCAACAGGAGAATTAGTTGAATCTTGTCGTAGTTATATAGACAAAAATAAATGTTGGTTTTCCATTTCAGTCTTTTTGCTCTGTCAGTAATGCCAGACTCCATGAAGCCAGAGGAAAAAAGAAAAAGCCATCTTGTGTGCTGAGCTTGGTGCCTTTCCTGTCCTTGCTTCCTCCTTACAGCAATCCTCCGAGTAGGGACTATTGTAATTTCTCTTTTCCAGGCTCCTAGAGTCAAATAGCCCACCCAATCCACAACTAGTAATCCACAGAAACAGCAATAGAGTGTGGTTCCGAACCATAAATTGCTCTTTACATTAGACAAAGTGACTGTCGTTCCATCCTATAGTTAAAAGTGAGGTCCTGAATTTGTTTTTCAGTGTATTTTATGACACAGGGTTTTCATTCAAGACCAGAGTGTCCACACCATATTTATACAATTGCCAAAACTTTTGAAATATAATAATGTTAAGATGAAAAAAATTCTTTCTGGAAGCAAATGAAACAGAAATTCAAGCTAAAACTAAAAATCATCCTGAATGTGCTTTTATTTCAGTGGTATTACTGAACAGCAGAGTGTTACATGATCCTTGAATTTGCCCGCCTAGGCTCAGGCTGGGCCAGGCCCTCGATGCTGTTGAAGTTGTCCTGTGTATTTCACATGCATCACAAGCAATGGCACTGCCCCTCACGCCTGCTCTCCAATGTGTCAGTTAGTCAAGAAAAGGAAGAATATGTTTCCCATGCACACACTAATTTTTTTCCAATGTTGCTCAGCCTGCCAGAACAAAAGTAAAACCACAGAAAGATTTAGATCTGCCTCTTGATTGCCTTGTGCTCTTTTACTGTTTCGGGAGGAATTGGACATCAAACATTTGAAACTGTCATCTACACATTCCTTCTCAGAAAAAAAGCAGCCTGGGCGCCTACCCCTGTTAATTTATCTGCTACCCCCAAATTTTGGAAACTGTCTCCAGGAAAATGCTCTACAGAAGGCACTCTGAACTAATGGAGTTAATTCTGAGAAAGGTTCTGAGTCGACAGTGAACTGTCATGTGCTGACATCCGGCCAGGTGGGCTTGACGCCTTAGCAGATATGTTGCTCAGACATTTAGATGTTTCTAATTTGTTTGCTTTCATAAATAGTACTTGAGAGACCTTTTTACTCTGTTCTGAGTATCCTTGGAATCACTGTCACATTCATCTGTTTATTTTCTTCAAAGCACTGATTGAAACTAATACTTTATTGCTTAGATGTTTGTTTATGGTTGATCTTCCTTCTCTAGATCATAACTTTTGCATGAGAGAAGTTAACTCTTCTGGCTTGTTTAATTCCTAACACATAGTAGATCCCCAGGATTTTTGTGCATATATGTTGTTGTTCAGTAGTCATCTTTCTAAAGCAGAAAGTGGAAAATAGTCGTCAGGGGTTGGTGCTAAGGGGAATGGGAAGTTAGTGGCTAGTGAATTATAAAGTTTAAATTGGGGAAGATATAAAGTTCTACAGACAAATAGTGATGGTTGTATGGCAATGTGAATATATTTAATGCCCCTGAACTATAAAAATAGTCAAAATGGCTTTTTAGTATCTATTTTAGTAAACAATTTTTTTAATTGGGATTTTAGAGCAAAGCTAAGATTGCATATTTTAAATTTGGTGATGTATAACTTCCCTGCAGAAGTTGTAGTATTTACATTCCAACTATTAGTGCTTAGGAACACCCATTTCTCAAAAACCATCAGCACTGGTCTCTCTCTTTTCTTTGTTTTTGATAAGGAAACACACTTTAATTATTGTTTTATTCAAGTAACTCTACTTTTTAAGGATGTAATATATTTTCAGATGTTTGCCATTTTTGCTCTTGAGGAAAAACGATATATACCCTTTCCCATTTTATTGGACAATTTGTTTCCTTTTATTGATTTGTGGGAGCTCTGTGTACAGTAAAGGCAGTAAATCATGTAATAGCTATTATACAGACTGCAAATAATTTTTCCCTGTTTTTTAAATGTTATTTGTGATTTTTCTGCTGTATGAAATTTAAAATTACACACCTATAATCTTATAATATTTGAGTGAGAAAGACTTCTTGGTAAGTAACCAAGGCAATTAGGTGATAACAAGTACCATAAGCCCTATAGACTATAACCTCTGTGTTTGTGAAATAATTGAAAATTTTAAATTTAAGTAGAAAAAATTTTAATTATGTATTATTATAAATTGAGAAGGGATCAACAGAAAGGCAAAGGCAGACCAAGAATTCCCTCTATTGGGAATCCAAAGGGAAGAAAATATGCTGTAAGTAGACTTTAGCAGGACCAAT